CTTTTCCAACCTTAATGATTCTGTGATTTATATATTTTTATTTTTAGGCCGTATAAAAACTAAGGTTTTGCTCATAGTGTTCATTCAGCCAGCTGTAACTATGTTTAATTAGAATTTTATACTGCTTCTCTCAGGCATAATTTGTTACAGGATTACAGTGCTGTAAAAGCACATAGTAAACAGACTACTTTACTTGCTGCAGCTGAATTAGTGGTATGTGAGAAACTTCTCTAATTTTAAAGTGTTGTGTCCTCTTTTCAGATAGATGTAATAGTATTAGCATAATATGCCAGACTACCTTTTTACCTTTATAAAATGTATTTTGGACTTTTTTTTTTTATTTTACCTTTATTTTGAGTGAAAGTTAAAAAAATTAAATGGCATAAAAACCTGCTTGGTAGTGAAAACACACATGTTGCTAAAAGAATCTCAGACAGTAAGTAATATGTAAATTATTTACCTCGGTTGCGATGTCAGCTTTATAACTGTCTTGTGTGGCAAAGAATCTTGGGAAGACTGAACATCATCCTACAAGAGAACATCTTTGAATTTGCTTTTGAATACACTTAAAAGTATAATACATTAACTTTGCCTATTATACAAACTTTATGAAGTACAAAACCATAGTAGCCATACCATAAACAGAAGGCTGCTTCAGCATGTTACACAGGACAATGAACCACAAAAGTTTATAAACTAAGTACTACAGATTGAACAAAAGAAAAAGGCTCACTTTGACCAGTTCAACCAATTTGAGAAACCTTTGCTTTCATTAAATGTCTCTTATTAGATACCATAATCAAATTGTTACCCCCATGTTTTCATTTTCTGCATACAAGACATTATAATCATTAACTTCAAATTTTTCAGATACTCATCACATATTTATATTAACTTTCTCATCCTATAAATTGACTCTCTGAAACACTACACTCCTGTATATTTAGCACAAGGATTTAGAGTTTAGTCTTCTGTCATACCTCATTGTTACCTCATACTGTACATAAAGAAAATTTTTAAAAACATAATTTGGGGTGTGTGTGATGACTTTTATGTGATATAAACTACTTAGAAGAATTGTTTCACAATATTTATGAATACATATTTTTCACTAGTTTCTCGCTTTTCTTAAATACAATATGACCCAGGGCTCACTTCCAGTAAGACAAGATAGCGACAAGCCATTGCTGTCACTATTGCATTAGTTTTTAAGTAAGAGAACAGCCCAGCTGTTGATATACTGTTACATTCTTATTTATTCCTATAATGGTGACAACCATAGATTTTGCGACTGAAGTGCAAAACTCAGTTTCTCAGAATACTCCAAAACATCCTCAAAATCTTGGTTTTCAAATCCAACTATTGCCACTTCACAAAGTTTTCTTTCTGCATTTGAAATAAGACTAATACACAGAAATGGAGCAATGGTTGCATAGCTTTACTTTTATAGGTTGGAGCTCAGGGATCTCTACATTTCTTCTGTGTTTCAATGTGTTGTCTTCCAAGCCATGAATTTTTTGCTTGTTTTTGTTTGTAAAACTTACACATAATGTACAAAGTACTCAGTTATTAGCTGACAAAACCATGATGCTTTTGTGTGTAACTAATTAAGAATAGCAGAAACACACTGCAAGCAACATCGTAATACCATTCTGGAATCTTTCCATCACATCTCATTTCCAGCTTCCTTTTTCCTGGCTTCAAGAACGACAATTTTCCCCTGGTTGTTTCCCCAGCTACTAGAATGCTGCTAGTCTCTTGCTACATTCCTTTGACCAGTTTTTTCCCTTCTTCACCCCTCAGAGACAACAGCCATTTTCAATTTTAAAGTCTTCATCATTTGTCTCTCTCAACTCTCAGCATTTATTCTGAATGCCCATCCCAGTGCAATTCTTGATGTCCGCTTTCACCAGCCACCAAAATACTCTGATGGTATTTCAGAACAGGTGCCTTTGAACTTTCTACTTAAGGTTTGCAAAAGGTTTTTTGTAAATATCCGGAAGTTCTCCCATTAGCATTTCACAAATCCCACATTAAAAACCTTTTGTCATGGTAACCAAAGTAATGTTGGGGAATACCAGGCTTATGATATGCTGCAGCTACTGTATATCATATGGATAAATCATAATCTGCTTCTGTAATCACCTTTTTTTCTGTTTTATATAGATATAACAAACTCATTCAGGTAAGAACTTTGTTTTTCATTTCTGCTTTCACAGTGGTAATAAAATAGTGAGTTTGACTTAGTATGCTCCCAGGCAGTAGACAGCTTAAACAGCAATTAGTACTTCTGCAAGCCAGTGGCATTAATCCAGATTCATAAAGAACTGGAATAATGAATGTTTAGCAAAATGTAACATCACAACGTCGTCCAATGTAATTCAGAGCAGAAGTGAAAACTTCATTCCAGGAACAACTTCAAAATAGTTCTACTTTATGAAGGTGAACATTCAATTTGTTAGCCTTTCCAACCAGGACAAAAATTACATTACTTGTCGCAGACACCCACATGCATATACATGCACATATAGATAGTACCAAAGTCATAAAATGTTTAATGAACTACTTCAACATTCTAGTTTTTTAAAATATATGTAACTGAAAGAATAATTCAAGGTATAACACAACCAGCACAGCCAGCAAAATATATGTCATGTTAGTTAAAAGTGTGAGGTAATCACACAACAAAGATTGCCTTAATCCCACTATGTCTATGCACAAAGAAACTAAAGCGCCTCGTTTCCTCTCTATTCCAGCTGTATGGACTTAGGTAGACTTCCTAAGAATACCTAGCTATCATAGCACAGAGCTTTTGTTCAGAAAGTGAAGAAACTAAGAATCCTCAAAGAAAACCATATTAGCAAGTGTGTTTCTTCAAGGTGCTTTTCACTGTAAAATGAGTCTCAAAATTACATGTAGGGATCTATTGCTGACTTTATCATCTGTAGATTCCCGTTTTGAATAATTTCAGCTAAGGAAAAAGCACAAGGCCTTCCTTGTCTCAACCTAGTTTTGCAAATACAGCTTTGATTTATGTTCAGGATGGAAATTTTCCTCTTGCTTATTACTTAACAAATGTAGGAAAGTCAAATTATAGGACTGCATACTGTTATATATTCACGTATCATACTCATGTCACTGATGTCACCAACAAATTTATGCCCACAAGAAAATTGCACCACCTGGTTTTACTATGTGATTCACAAAGTGGAACAAAATAAGCCCATTTACGTGTATGGGGTTTTTCAGCATTAACTCCTGAAATTTTCACTTTTTCCTTTCCAATACCTTCAATTAATATTCAATTAATACCTGCATATTACTAAGCAGGTATTAGCAGCAAATTTCATCCTAACTTTTCCCATGACACTCAAAATGTATTGGAAAGACATAGTTCACATTTTGTTTTTGGAGAAAATCAAGAAAGACAGCTTACCATCTTCAGGAATGGACTTGATGTGTCATAATTATAAGCGCCTTTATCCTTTAGGATAAGAATATGTGCAGAATCAATTATCACTTTCTTCAAGTTCATTATTGAGTGGAAAAGCCTGTTAAAAATTTTAAAGTATTAATTTTCAGGTTTTTTTATTCAATGTGATAACATCTGTATCAAAAGATTAAAGAACTCGAAAGTATGAGTTCCAGAAAAATAAATGTAACTTTATATATCAATATAGCATAAAATTAAGAACAGTTAGTTGTAATGGGTGACCAGACTGCAAAATGCAGAAACAAAATGAATTTCTGAAAATGAGGTATATCTCCAACCCACTATTGTGCTACAAAACATACACCCTCAAAATACCAAGTACTTTTTCAAAATGCTAATCTTAGGAAAGTTTGTGTTTTCTATGTTTGTTTTATCTATAGTGGATGGAAGCCCGAAATGCTGGTCACAAAGTCAAGATTGCCATTAAGCAGGATTAGAAAAACATTAAGAAACACAAAGATTTAAATTATTATCATTATTTCCGTTGTTTCTACTGACACAAGGTTTACAAATTCTTAAATAAGAGCGCTGTGGAATTTTATTTGTAAAGTGAAAAAAAAACTTTATTTTACTGTCATAACAAATTCATTGCATATGTTTATACCTTGATTATACCTATGCTTTAATAGATAAAAAAATCAAGAAATTAATGGAATTTAAAAATACTTGTCATGAATGCAGTAGTTTAAACCCAGAAAGTGTATTTTAGAGGTATTCAAAGCAATAGCTTCTTTAATCGGCATGCTCTACCATCAACCGTCTATCATTATCTACCTCAATTAATCAAACTTACTAGTGCTTAATATTCCAATATGTAATAATTTTCTGAACAAATGCATAATTCAAGTATATATATACACAGACATATATATAGATATATATCATACGCTCTTCAAAAAAATTCCACAAAATAGCTAGCAGGATAATTTGTCAGTACTGAGAAAGCAACTACCCGTCAGGTATCACAGCAATAAACAGCAACAGACAAATTAAGTAGGAGACTGGCAACATGAAGAAGAAAGGAAAGTTACAGAGGATGTGGGATTTTTCAAGGAACATATGCTTAAATTAGCATGTCTTCTGATCATTGCTTAGCACAGACAGATATAAAATGTTCTCCTATGCAATAGTTACTGCAGAAAATAACAGCCCTGTTATTAAAGAACTCGAGTATTGTGTCTACCTAGCTTCTTTTGAAACCTCAGAAATTTTGTTTGGACATCAAATTCTTACTTCAGAGGGTTAAAAAATATTTCATAAATGAGAAGAGCACAGGTAATCAAAACCAATTCTCTTGTAGAGTATCAGTACACTTTCAGTACTGAGTATGTTGCTAGCTATAGCAAATCTGTATCTCTAAATAAATACTTCTGCTTTAAAAAAGCAAAGGGAAATTAAGATTTAAGTTTATGTATTTATAATAAATTACCTGGTGCCATAATCCACAACTACCCAATCTTTAGATGTTCCTGTAATAGCATCATGATGCTGAAAGAGTCCAAGGTTCCTCCTAGCTTCTGTCAGCAATTTATAGTTATCCACTGAAGGAAACACATTCATCTTCTCATATTTACTGGACTGTACCAAAGCGAAGGAGTAGAGGATTTCAGCTGCCCTGGAATTGCAGAGAAGAATCAAATATTTATACAGCTTTAAAAAGCAAAAGAGCAACATACATTTTACCTAAAGAATGAATTGATGTTTTTACATCTTTCCTCACACCTAGTTCTGTGAGTTCTTTAAACCTTAATCTTGTACTTTTCAGCCTGTTTCTATCTTCAAACAGTTAAAAATCACTGCTGCACTTCATCATCAACTACTTTTAAACTATGTAAGCTTCCTGCAAGGCTTCAGTGATGGAAAATAAAGTTTCAAAATAAAAAATATGCCAAAGTAACATACCATTTTCATAAAAGTGTGAGGTATACATATTTGACCTTAGAATGAGTAAGAATAGACTGCCTTACAGGTGACACACAATTCCCATTTCAAAAAACAACTTATTAAACACAAGAAACTATCTTAGAGAAATATATTGATCTGTATACTCCATATAATAGCTATTCTACTATTTGTACTTTAAGCACTCTAAAGTCTCCTGAAGACTTAGGCAGTTCATGCACCTGTTCACTATATTCACCTGAACAGTGAGAACACTGGATTCAAAAACCCTTAGACTGAACAGAATGCAGAGCCCTTCCTTCCTATTTCTTATGCAAAAGCCTAGCACTAAAATATTACCATTACGTTCTCACCTGCTTCATGAGAATCTCAATTCATTTTACAAAAATAAAACCCCATAATTGCCAGTCATTATGAATATCTGACTAACAATGGTGCCTGCCAAAATTCTTGGAAACCATCTCTTAACGTCTTTTCCCATGTCCCTTTCCTAAAATGTTACAGTTCTGTTTTTGTAAGTCTGAAAAGTGTCAGATTCCTTTTCAAACTTTATTTGAGCTGAAGGAAGGTTTCTCAAGTGTTTGAAGAAACCAAGAAGATATAGGTTAATGTTTTAAAAAGCAAAGACAGCAAAATAACATGTTATTGAAACAAATGTAGAACTAACTTGTAAGCATGCAAATTTAAAAAAGTATAAAAAAGGAAAATACATTAATTTTTGTATGTGCATGTGTTCAAATTTAAACTAGGTGCAATAACGAATTTTAAAATAATTCTCAACTTGGGTTTTCAGTCTGTGCATTGATATTAACTGTTAACATTAAAAAAATACTTTCGGATTCAGTTTGGCCTCTTTGTCTTATGGGTCACATAAGTGACAATTATGTAAGAACTGCAAGTAGCATGTGTCAAACTAAACTGAATGGTATACTGCACATATAATAACTCAATTTTCATATTTTCAGTATTTGAGGAATAGGATGAAATCTTGCTCTTACTGGTAAGATAACTTCTCAGAAGCTACACACAAAACTAAGGTCACGTGTTAAAAGTTGTAATTCCTTTTTCTTATTACTAGTGCACTTAAGCTTAATGGCTGTGATTTTACTGTTGCTTAGTGTAAATTCCTACATCTATGTATTCCTCCTACTTTTTTTAATTACAGCTTCACTTGAAAGGAAAACAAGCATACTGTAGTTAACAAGGTATCAGATCCACATTCATCTAGTAGATAAACCCTGTCTAACCGTTTTATCTTTTTTTAAATATTTGACTTGGCCACTAAACACTGACCCAACTGTAGCTATGAAGTACAGAACACAAAAAATGCTAGTCCTCAAAATACAGGTTAGATTTCCCTCCCAAAAATCCACCTCAATTTTTTTTTAATAGAGAAGTCCATTATTAATAAACAAGAAAACAAATTGAAAACCAAACAAAGTAACATTAAAATGAAGCTGTAAAAATATTTTCAGTTCATACTGCTTCCAGAAATTCACTTTAAATCCATTATTTCTATAAGGAACACTTAGAACTCTTTTGCCTTTCAGAAAAATAACTGATTCTGTTTTACAAATCCATTCAGTACATCAGTCTCTTAGATGCAGAATTTTTCTTTCAAGTCTCATGCTATTCTACACATCAGAATGGTTCAACGGCCAGAGATGAAAGACACTCAGAAGTGAAAACACAAGAAACAAGAAACTGCAAATAAACCAAATTTTGCTGCATTAATTGCTTAAAGCCTGCGCTAGGTTACCTTTAGGTCTACTTTATATTTAACCTCAATAAATAAATAAATAATTTTCCCTAGAGTTTCTGCACTCTCAAGATGTGGTCTTTTCCATCCATCTGTACAGTTAGAAATACCACTGCAGCTCACATCCTGCTTCTGAATTATTTCAACAATCTTCTTTGCAGACTTACCATTATTTTTCCCTGATCACATCTGTTAAGAATGAAATCACAGAATGTGTTCCTAACTTGCCCCCAACTACGCTGCCATTCTTTGCATCTTTCCACTATTACATTGAACAAATTTATGGTCACTGATTTCATCACCCTTCGAACTACTTTAATTCATCATTCTCTCACTTAAGATTGAAAAATCAATTATGTCTCAAATCAATGATGTCAATCTCCATTACAAAATCCTTAAACTTCCATGCACTTTCTTTAATACTCAACCCCTAAACTTTTTTAAAAACAGGAAAAAAAACATCCAAAGAACCAACTCTCTTCTTGCTTAAATGGCTACTCATCATAGCAGCTCCTGAGGTTGCACACTGTTTCCTGGCTATTAAGTAGCCATGAAGTACTTCTTAATTCTGATACTGCTGGAACATAAAACCATTCATCCTTGGTAAAGGATACATACACATGCACTTACCTCCTGCTCGTGGTTCATTCCCCTACATATATATACATACACACAAACATACACACACACTAGATGGATATAAGTTATCTCCAAAAGAACTTAATTTTAATGACAAGGTTGGGACAACAGCGTTATTAATTATGATTATAATGTACTTCCTCTGACTTTAAAGAAAATGAAAAATAAAAGACAAAACCCCTAATTCTGCTGTCCTCACAGCTAATATGCCATCCTTGAAGATTCTCCACATCTCTGAAAGCAAAACTGCCAAAAAAACTGGTGTTAAACTGACAGGAACACATCTATACATTTTGTTCTTATATTTTATTCACAGAGGATAATGAAAGATGAAAAACTTCCCAGGTACATTTTAAGAAACATAGTTCATTTTAAATCGTAAGACTGAAGGTTTAGTTTTCTTCCAGAGATTCTTCACATCTCTAAGTCTAGCACCTTTTTCAGAAGTTAAACTTAACTGAAATGCTTACATGAAGGAATCTCTTAACAGTATAAAAAGATTTATAGTATAAACAAACTTGAAAGCAATCCATATGAACTTTTCTGCAATATAAGTAATGAAAAACAGAAAAATGACAATAAATTAAACACAAGTAAAATTGTTGATAAAATAGGCTATGATACAGCTAAAAGAAAATTGAATCCTCTGTGCATTTTAACAAACAGAAAGGAATTAGCAATAGGACGAGAAGAAATGGCCTCAAGTTGCAACAGGGGAGGTTTAGACTAGATATTAGGAAAAATTTCTTTATGGAGAGAGTGGTCAAGCATTGGAAGAGGCTGCCCAGGGAAGTGGTGGAGTCACCATCACTGGAAGTGTTCAAACAACATGTGGACATTGCACTTCAGGATATGTTTTAGTGGGCATGGTGGTGTTGGATTGGTGGTTGGACTTGATGATCTTAAAGGTCTTTTCCAACCTTAATGATTCTGTGGTTATGTGAATTTAGGCAAAAATATGAAAAAAATTAAGTAGGGAACTCAGTTTATAAGGACATAATCTGTCCTGTTTCCTGTACATCTTGTCTTTTCCAATAGTGGTATTGGACAAGGATGTTTTCACTGAAAATCGAAGATTCTTGCAATAAACAAGCTAATGAGAGCTGGGCTAATTAATATTTATAATGTTACTACAGTAAGTAAAAAGTAAAATGCTTCTAAGAAAATCATAGTGATGCTTGATACTCTATTTCCAAACTATTTCTGAATGGTTGTCAAAGTTCCTATTACCTCCTATTATTAACCTCTAAAATGCCCTCTTCATAATCTTCAAACATTCTTGGTTATGTACATAAGTTAAGTATAACACTTGCACAGTTCCAAAGTTCTGATTAAACCACTGCAGAAGTCACTCCTCTGATAACTTCTCCTCACTATATTATTTTTACATTTTTCTGCCAAAGGGATCCTTGCTTTGTTTTTTGTTACTCCTCTCAGCTTTGGTCTTATTTTAGTTCTCCTTCCTCAAAGTCTTTGCTTTCCCATTTGTGAAGCTCTTCTCCTTGCTGGTCAATGAAATGTCTTCAAACTTATGTCACGTTGCCTCCTCCCCAACACTTTTCTATTCTCAGGCCCCTGACCTCACTTCCCCTTACACATTTATTAGTTTTTCTATTGCTTTCATTTCTTATTCACTGATTTTCTTGATATCTTCAGGTCTCTTACTCTGTATTCTAGAGTGCAGACAGAGGGCTAGAAAAAGCGACTTTCATTACAAGAAAAACAGCTACTACAGATCACAGAGTAGCTGCATCCCAAGACTGCAAAGCCTCTCCTTTACCAGAGTAAAGACTTGATTCCTTAGAAGAAGGAAAACAAATTCTGCTAGACGCAGAGGTTTCTCTTCTGAAAGGTGCTTGTATCTGCCCCCAAAATGCTACTTTGCCACACTTCACTTGCTCGTTCCACTACTGCAGCAGCCATTACGACACAAAAAAAAATTATAAGAAATCCTTAAGGAAGGATTTCTCAGCACTACAGAAGTTCTTCTCTAGCACAAAATGGTCTGAATAATATATAGAAGCATTGAAAGAAGAATAGAAGGTGTACTCCAAAGGGTCCTTCCAGAAGACAAAGAGTATCCTTTGACGAATAATCTTTTGGAAACAGAATTTCCAAGTTCCAAGATTAAATGTCCAGGATGTACATCATAAGCATCTGTCCCAGATTTCTTTCTGGAGCTTTAAAATACAGTTAAGTCATTTTACAATGCATCTTATCTACAGCTGCTACAAGGGAAAGCCACTTAAATACTCTGTTACCAAAATTAAGCAGTAATTTTTTCTTTAAACAAGATGCAAACACTTTTCAGCAGACCAGTACCTTATAATCTGAGATGACCTGGCACACAATGTTCTTGACTTTTCAGCTGCCTCTAACAACCCTTGTAAAACTCACACATTCATATTTTTCTTTAAAAGAGTTCACAGTAGATAGAGTGAGCTGACAGCTACCCAAATCTGATACAGAAATAAAAAGCATACTACCTGCTATTTTCACGGAATCAGGACTTGTTGATCACTTGAATAGTATTTTAGAACTTTTTTTTTTGGATGGAAAAAATATTGTATTTCTGTGAATTTACTAAAAAAAAAAAACCAGATTCACTGACTGTAACAAGAACATCATTTGGGGGCCATTTAGGCTATCTGTAATGTAAGTAAACTTAAACTGTGCATTTCAAAATCACTTTTCCATCTGTCCAAGAGATTTAGAGTACCTACACATTCATCTCTCTCATGTGCCAAGACATATGTTATGAATTTAATGGATGGCAGTATTTACCGTAAGTAGGATTCCAGGACTCTATCCAGTCGTTTATAGAAGGGTCGCGATGTAAAGTATCCACTCCAGTAATGATGATCTCTATCTGCATAAGTGAAGAAGTCTCCACTTAAAACGGGGAAAAATGAATTGCTGCTCTTTTCACCCAAATTGCTTTCTTTGCGCAGAGCTTCAAAGTAATCTGATAAAGTTCCAAACTGGGCCTGAAAGAAAATTAAAATTACTATAACATAGCTCCATTTTCTTTATTTAGATGTATGAAGAGAATGAATATGCTTAGTTTCATATGCATTTCAGAAATACACTAATCTTCCAGCAGAATTATAGCAGAAAACCTATCATAAATAGCTTTAAAGTTTCCCTGCGCACTTTTCAGACAAGCTGAATAGCTCTTCCCAAAAGCATTTCAGCTTCAAGTCAGTACAAGACAGACATGGGTCTCTTGCAGACAGCCCAGAGGAGGGCTACAAAAATGATCAGAGGGATGGAACACCTCTCCTATGAAGGTAGGCTCAGACAGTCGGGGTTGTCAGCCTGGAGAAGGGAAGGCTCTAGGGAGACCTTACTGCAGTCTTCCAGTACATAAAGGGGACTTAGAAGAAAGAGGGGGACAGACTTTTTAGCAGGGCTTGTTGTGATAGGACAAGGGGTAATGGTTTTAAAATAAAAGAGGGTAGATTTAGACTAGATCTAAGGAAGAATTTTTTGACAATGAGGGTGGTGAAACACTGGCACAGGTTGCCCAGAGGGGTGGTAGATGCCCCATCCCTGGAAACATTCAAGGTCAGGCTAGACAGGGCTCTGAGCAACTTGATCTATTGAAGATGTCCCTGCTCATTACAGGGGGGCTGGACTAGATGACCTTTAAAGACCCCTTCCAACCCAAAGATTCTACGATCTTGTTTGATCATAGGAAATACTTCTTTTTAAGTATAAATTGGTAACTAAAATACAAGCTAAATCTCAACAAATAAGCAAAGCATTCTTTTGTGTCTTTTAAGTCTCTAATGCACGAGCTAAGTAACATCTCATTATTACATAATCACAGAATCATTAAGATTGGAAAGGACCTTTGAGATCACCAAGTCCAACTGTTAACCCAACACCACCATGCCCCCTAAACCATGTCCCGCCGCACCACATCCAAATCACCATACTTCCAGTGATGGTGACTCCAGCACCTCCCTGGGCAGCCTGTTCCAATGCTTGACCACTCTCTCTACTATGTAAGTAGCTGTCTGGACTAATTAAGAAACTTAATGTAATGCAACAGGAGCATATTTGTCTTAATCCTGCAGTTTCAAAATTAATTCTGTTGTGCTCAAGGTCTCCAACATATGCTTAACCCAAGATGACTGTTGATCAAAAAATTAGTATTTGCTTTCAGAAGCTCTTTTTTTAAAACTACATAAAGAAGTTGTCGTTAGAGATGTAACATGGGGGAGTACAAAAAATTCATTGTCTTCTGGTCATTTTTAAAAATGCTCAGAACAGCCATTTACAGGGTAGGTCAAAAGATGGTATCCTCAAGCTTGAGGAGTACAATAAAAAAGGGGGAGGGGAATAAAAAAAAGGGTGGGACTGATGTCAGTGTTGCCAGCATTGACAGATGTTAAAGAAGGCAGAGAAGGCAGACTCGATTTTGAATGAGTGGAAAAAGAATTAATGGAAGTGGGAACAGTGCAGATCATGTTACACAAGCATGCTTGTAATAAATTATAACGCTAATACTTCAAATTTACATTAAGTCACTTTTTTGTTTGATTATTTTTAACAACAAGCATACAAAGTAGCATGCTACAATTTACAACAGCAGAAAACAAGCTTTTAGCAAAATTCTTTCAAAAGCGACTCAAAACTCTTTTCCGTTTTCAAAACTCTTTCAGTTTTGGGCCCCTCACTACAAGAAGGATGCTGAGGTGCTGCAGCGTGTCCAGAGAAGGGCAACGAAGCTGGTGAGAGGTCTGGAACACAAGTCTTATGAGGAGTGGCTGAGGGAACTGGGGTTGTTTAGTCTGGAGAAGAGGAGGCTGAGGTGAGACCTTATCGCTCTCTACAACTACCTGAAAGGGGGTTGTAGCAATGTGGGTGTTGGTCTCTTCTCCCAACTAACTAGTGATAGGACAAGAGGAAATGGCCTCAAGTTGCGCCAGGGGAGGTTTAGATTGGATATTAGGAAAAATTTCTTCACTGAGAGGGTAGTCAAGCATTGGAACAGGTGGTGTCCAGGGAGGTGGTGGAGTCACCATCTCTGGAAGTGTTCAAAAAACTTGTGGATGTGGCACTTCAGGACATGGTTTAGGGGACACAGTGACGCTGGATTAATGGTTGGACTTGATGACCTTGAAGGTCCTTTCCAACCTTAGTGATTCTGTGATTCTGTGACTTGGAATGGAATTTAAGGACTACTACTGTGACAACAAAGATGTGGTATTTCAACATTTAAAAACCCTCAACAAAACAGCATTCACTCTTCAAATATCATTCTGAAGATGCAACTATCTGTTAGGTGGATACAGTATGATAACTGGCCACTTTGGCAGTAAAGCAAAGAGACGTATCGCCACAGAAATCCCAATATTAGTGATCCTCATCTTATCAGCCACTTCTAGGAAACTTGGCCTTTTCCCTCGCTATCAGAGACACCTACAAGATACAATTCAGAAGAAAAAAAAAGTCAATGGACCAAGAGAAATCAGGTATATGTGACCTCCCTTCTGTATGCTGGCTTACATCAGAGGAACAAGTAAAATTGAAGAAAACTTATTCTTAATGCCAGGTGAGTAGAAACAGTGAAATAACCTTGTAGACTCTTCTACTGTTACATAAAAAGTCTCAGCTTAATTTACTCATAATAGATGTAAAGGAGATCTCCAAATGGGAGATTCAACTCCATGAGAGCAAAATAGGTATCTTTTACAGTAGTCTCCACATACTTTTAGGACCATAGAATAGCTGCTGGCATGAGAACCTTAGATAAATATCTCAAGTTTGCCTGAAAGCGATAAGTGTGTCATAACATCAGAAAGGCAGAGTAGGCAGTCCCTTGTGTAAATATAAAAACCTAGCCATCTCAGCACTTAGGGAAGAAATTCGAACACTTCCTTTATATAATCTAGGCTCTTAGGAAGCTAAGCTTGGTCTCTACTTGCCTGTAGAGTTACAGTCCACAAGGGAAGTGCAGAAGAGTGAAAATTCTCTACCTAAGCTCATATTTCGAAGGATAAACAACATCACTAAACAACAACCAAAAAAACCCCATCCCAACAACAAACAAGCAAAAAAACCCCAATCAAAAAACAGAGAAAGAAAAAAAACCCCAACTAAATAAAATGAAAAGGAGATACGGTCCAGTGCCAACAGTGCTCCAGCTGGGCAAAGTACCGAACATATGAAGTGGCTGAATCAGGGGACTGCATATCTTTTTGTCTGGATATTAAGAACCAGAAAAAGGGTTGGATACTTCTACAAGGGCCCCAAGGGCTGGTGTGATTCCCAAGGCATTTATCCAAGTGAGCAAGTCAGGGCTAATGAAGTAGACTCCTAGAGTCCTTGACAATGAGTAGAATGTTTCAGATAAGGATCTTTCAGGTGCCTCAGGACACGAGTGGTCCTTAAAGAATTACCTCAGAGCTAGAGTCTTCAGGTTTTGCCCCAGAGAAGAAATCATCCAGCCCAGGTTAGTAGGAATGGAGACTACAGAAAGTATACTGCTGTTAGTATCCAAAGAGTAACTACCTGCACTCTAGATCCATTTTTGGGGGGAGTAAAACCGGTGATAGCAACAAGCTTTAGATTTAAAAGAATGAAGAGTACTCTCCAGGTCGATCTCCCTCCACTAAGATATAGCAGGCATTCAGATATATCACATCACTCACATCCCATTTGAAACAGATGCAAAATCCAGCTCTCAGACAAGCTGTGATCCCACGAGATCATCTTTCTCATACAGAA